ATTGGATTTTCCTGTGTCTACGACAAAATGTAAAATATTGCAATATGTTCACGAGTGGATTTTATCAGATATTTGCCCAATTCTGTCACACATCTCGTCATAGCCCTGGCACTCAGATCCATGTAAGATTCTGCCCTACAAGTCTTTGGTTTACTTACATCATTTTGAAATATACATTATCAGCAAAGTGAAAGAAATAGCTATTTATATGACCACATCATTTGATTTTTAATGAAGAATTTCAGGACAAGAACCTCTTATGGTTGTTTCTGGGGGAGTTACCCCTCCAGCCATGCCTTCTAAAAATTGTTCATGAGCCTGGCAAAGAAAATACTATAGCGGGCGCTTTTTCAAGAGGCCATAAAAAAGGAAACAGAATGCTGTGAAGGAAATAGCCTTTTGTAACATATATTGTTATGAAGTTCATTGTATGTTTAATGTTAATATGATTATTGTTAATGTATAATAAAAATAGTATTGAAAAGGACTTTTGATGTGAAATGCAAATGCCAGTTAATGATACAGTGCTGAACTTTGCAGTTTTGGCTGTGTCGATTTGTTAAGTTTTATGGAGGGTATTTTCTCTATGAGGCCTAGTGAGATGTCTTGCCCACCTCTTATGAAACTTCCCTTATTATCTGTGTTCCCCATCCCCATTGCTCCCCTCCTGCCTGATTCTAGTTCTGTCCTACCACCCACTGTGGAAGAACGCACGAGTCATCAAATACCCGCTGAAAGACCAGCATCCATGGCACCTGTGCCATCTTTAAAAGGCTGCTGTGTACCTAGATGAACAGTGCCTTTCTGAAGCTGCCCTGGTCATTGAAGGACAGACTTTCTGAGAATGTTTGAGAACAAGTAAAATGCATCACCATCTCCAACAGGGATCTGGAGGTCCTGCTGGATGGGTGGTTTAGATGAGAGGAGGAGTCCCCTTTCCAAAAGACCTGCAGAGGGGTCTGTGCCACCAGACCCTAGTAGCATGGTCTGAGGGCACCACCTGGATTCGTCTATAGTCCTGAACAATGGCCAGTTCTGCCTCAAGAAATTCAATGAACTTCTTCGTTCCACCAGGGTAAGTGCCACATTCTTCTCTCTGCTACCTCTCACTTGCACTGTCTCTGCTAATGCACACATTTCCACCAACGTTCATGTTCTAACACTCTCACAATTGCATCCAATATCTTCCATCACTCAGTCTTGTTTTCCCCGCCAAACCCCTAAACCTGCATAGACTTTGTGCTGCCTACTCACCCACCTGGGACACCTTACCACCTTTCTACCAGCTGGACCAGCTTAAACGGCTGGGTCACCCATTTTCACCCAACTCAATTCCTTCATCTCTCCCATTACAGGAGAAAACAACCCAAAACAGGGTGAAAAGAGCCAGAATAGGTAGAGGGGTGCTTAAGATCAGGCTCTTCAAACACTATCACAATAGAGTCCTCTCCTGTGCAAAGAGACATGCATGAGGTATCCATGTCCTGCCAATCGAATAAGTACCACAGTTCATTCCACTGCAAACCTGACACTAACCCTTCTGTCAATACTATTCGTTGTCCTAACCATTGGTGCAATGTCTTCCCTCCCTTGTATCCTGCAGATGCCACTGGGATGCCCATGGCCCCTACTCAGAAACAGGCTGCTCCACCAGAAAGCACCTCCTCAATCGCTCAGCAAGTTGGTTCCGAGGCTTCAGAGAAAGCATTGGCAAGGTTGCATCCCTACCAGTTTAAATACCTTGGTTGGGGATATCAGGTCTCGAATGTTTGGGAGCATGAGCTGGTGAGCACCTCACGGCGATGTCTCTGCAGCTAGCCAAGGAAGGAACAGCCTAGATCACTGGCACTCAGAGGAGTACCAGAGACCAGGTTCCTGCTCAGTTCCAGGTAGGAAAGGAACTCATAGTATTGGTAATCAGGGACTTTGTCTCAATGCACAGGGGAGAACAGGAGTGGCAAACAGGAGTCTGGCAGGAGTGCAGCTATACTATGGGGACCCAGCTTTCTTAAGCATGCAATCATCTCTGAGGATCTGCTGGATACACGGACAGATCTAGACACCATCTTCCCAGCCATTAGTCCTCAAGACTGAAAACACAGTGAGAAGGGGACAGACAATCCAGCACTCGTTCAAGGTACCCATTCCTCACAAGGGCAGGGCAGTGGCAAGAGGCATCTAACTGGAGCAGGAACACACACAGACCTCTCAGAAGTGTTCACACTGGACACTCCAGGGTGAGCAGGCCCTCCGCTTCCACTCCTATCTGCCCTCTCCGACCTGCGCGCTGCTCAGTTGGTGCCTGCTGACCAAACCTCCAGAGCCAACAGGCTCCATTGCTGAGCAGGCTGTTCTTGTAACATTACCTGGGATCATAACACTATAGAACATAGAACATAGAACATTCCAGCGCAGTACAGGCCCTTCAGCCCTCGATGTTGTGCTGACCTGTGAAACCAATCTGAAGCCTATCTAACCTAAAGTATTCCATTATCATCCATATGTTTATCCAATGACCATTTAAATGCCCTTAAAGTTGGCAAGTCTACTACTTTTGCAGGCAGGGCATTCCACGCCCTTACTACTCTCTGAGTAAAGAACCTACCTCTGACATCTGTCCTATATCTATCACCCCTCAATTTAAAGCTATGTCCCCTCATGCTAGCCATCACCATCCGAGGAAAAAGGCTCTCGCTGTCCACCCTATCAAATCCTCTGATCATCTTGTATGTCTCTATTAAGTCACCTCTTAACCTTCTTCTCTCTAACGAAAACAGCCTCAAGTCCCTCAGCCTTTCCTCATAAGACCTTCCCTCCATACCAGGCAACATCCTGGTAAATCTCCTCTGCACCCTTTCCAATGCTTCCACATCCTTCCTATAATGCGGTGACCAGAACTGTACGCAATACTCTAAGTGCGGCCGCACCAGAGTTTTGTACAGCTGCAACATGACCTCATGGCTCCGAAACTCAATCCCTCTACCAATAAAACCTAACATACCGTACGCCTTCTTAACAACGCTATCAACCTGGGTGGCAACTTTCAGTGATCTATGCACATGGACACCGAGATCTCTCTGCTCATCCACACTACCAAGAATCTTACCATTAGCCCAGTACTCTGTATTCCTGTTACTCCTCCCAAAGTGAATCACCTCACACTTTTCCACATTAAACTCCATTTGCCACCTCTCAGCCCAGCTCTGCAGCTTATCTATGTCCCTCTGTAACCTGCAACACCCTTCCGCACTATCCACAACTCCACCGACTTTGGTGTCATCCGCAAATTTACTAACCCATCCTTCTATGCCTTCATCCAGGTCATTTATAAAAATGACAAACAGCAGTGGCCCCAAAACAGATCCTTGAGGTACACCACTAGTAACTGAACTCCAGGAAGAACATTTCCCATCAACCACCACCCTCTGTCTTCTTACAGCTAGCCAATTTCTGATCCAAACCGCTAAATCACCCTCAGTCCCATGCCTCCGTATTTTCTGCAATAGCCTACCATGGGGAACCTTATCAAACGCTTTACTGAAATCCAAATACACCACATCAACCGCTTTACCCTCATCCACCTGTTTGGTCACCTTCTCAAAGAACTCAATAAGGTTTGTGAGGCACGACCTACCCTTCACAAAACCGTGTTGACTATCCCTAATCAAATTATTCCTTTCTAGATGATTATAAATCCTATCTCTTATAATCCTTTCCAACACTTTACCCACAACCGAAGTAAGGCTCACTGGTCTATAATTACCAGGGTTGTCTCTACTCCCCTTCTTGAACAAGGGGACAACATTTGCTAGTCTCCAGTCTTCTGGCACTATTCCTGAAGACAATGACGACATAAAGATCAAAGCCAAAGGCTCTGCAATCTCCTCCCAGAGAATTCTAGGATAAATCCCATCCAGCCCAGGGGACTTATCTATTTTCACACCTTCCAGAATTGCTAACACCTCCTCCTTATGAACCTCAATCCCGTCTAGTCTAATAGACTGTATCTCAGTATTCTCCTCGACAATGTTGTCTATTGACCCCAGTTTAACCTAGTTATTATCCTGTTAACAGCAGGTGAAACAAGTTAAAGTTCACTCTCAGGAGGGAAGTTGTAAGATGTAAAAAATTAGGGAGGTAGTTGTGGTTTTGAGCAAAGGAGAGTTTAACAACAGGAATACATTGGTTCATAATTTTGCCCAATGAGCAGTGGTTGCCGGGTTTCTGATTATTCTTGAATATCACTTTAAATAGATCAGGGACTATGGAAAAGATTTATTACCTTTAAAAATAAAACAACCAATACTAATAACTATAGAAGCTCCCAAGTTACAAACAACGACATTCATTTTTAAACATGGGCAACAAATGCTAACCATGAAAAGAAAGTACTTCAACTGATAACATTACTTTTCCCCATGGATAAGTTGTGTTGTGTCATGATCTAACTTTTACATGTGGCAAACAAACTCAAACATGCAGTTGGAGGCCAATATGTTTCACATACAAGCATCTTGGTCTACATAACACTGTTCAGTCTTATTGCTCAAAAATGTCTGAAATTTGTAGTCAGTGTTAAACACAAAAATGGAGTCATCATTATCACAGTTCATCATGGCTTTGTTTCTTTTTCATTTTTGTGGAAATACAAGCCTGGCTTGCTGTGTTAGATTTATCTGCATCTTACAAAACCCTGCTCAGCACCTTCAGCAAATTGAAATTCAGTTCCGCTCATCAATGTTTCAGGAAATGCTGCTACACAGCCACTGTTGCCAAGAAAGTGTAGTTATAAAGTGACAACTGTGCTTTTCTCAAGCATTCTACCCATCTAATTATCTGTTTGCACCAAAACAGAAACACTTACCATGATAATAAAAGTTTCCAATCTTTTTGTGGAAGGCAATACCTTTTGGATATTTACAAATAAATGTGAAGCTTGGAATATACATTAGCATATGATATTCTGCAGTGCATAAAGATTTGGGCTTGTTTATGCTCACCTTGAGTAGCTATGTAGTGGCGTGGTCTGTGGTAACCCTGAAAACCAAAGTGGAAACCAAATAAACAGGAAGAGAAAACAAAAACATTTTTGTAATGAAGTTCAGTTTATATATAATGGTATTTATAAATTCCACATTCCCAGCACAGAGCATTATCCAACTGAAGATCATCTGAGGAATTTGGAGAATTATACAAAATTGAATGAGGCTCACAAAGAAATTACACAAACATTCGATGTACATTCTCATGGACTGACATTTTGTATTGGGAGGGAAAATTCATAAAATTTAATGCAGCAAATTTGAACTTCAAAAACAAATTAAAGCTTATACATTCAGTAACAGGTCAAATAGAAAGAGATGTGGACTATTGCTTAAACAAAATAGTAGAGAAGAAGAGATGTAGTCAAAACCTACATCACACACTTTCTAATAAGTAATTATGTGTCTTTTAGTAATAGAGAATCACTCCAAAGACCATCTCAGTATCTAAACTGTGGGGAATTTCATAGAGCACACTTATTGTAAAATAATAATCTGCAACATAGAATTGTCCCAGTTATAAACAGTAGGACCAAATTGTACAAGGCTGTGCTGGTACCAGTGTCCCGTGCTCAGAAACAAAACACATAAATGATGACTGGAAAAACATAGGTGTAATTTCTGATATGTACCACTAGTAGGCAAAGTTTCCAACAAGCAGCACTGTCTCACAAGTTTAGTCCTATTCTATTTGTCTGTTTGGAATTAAAGGTTAGAATCATGGTAAATAACAGCTAGCATGAGGACTTGCAAGCTGCCATGGCTATCATAAATTATATTCAGAGAACATCCAAGAATTTAGAGACCCAACATTCCTGATGGGCCACTGCTGTTGGGTAATGTAAAGGAATGGGACAGGAATTGATGGAATGGGGAAGGATGGGGGGAAAATGACAAAGGGTGGAGGGACCTGTGCTGCTAATGGAACTTCCTGGGCATCTGTTGTGCCCAGTTTAAGATTATTTGCTTTTTAAAAAAAAATGCCACTTTTCTGTTGCTATCAGGAAACCATTGTCATTCTCAATTCTATCAGTTTGTATAATTTTGTGAAATATGAGCTTGTATCATATAGCCGTCAGAGAAGAGGGAAGATATCAGAAAGTACTTGTCCCCACTACCTGAGAAATTCTGAACCCTGGCATCAAGACCCTGGTAATCTGAGGTAACTGACCCAAATCTTTAATACTTCTCCACCCACCATTGGCCCCTGCCACTGCCTGCTCTACCACACAAAACCCTCCAGGAATTCAGAGGGTCTGCTTTATTTTGGTTTAAATACCATTACTGCTCCATGTAATAAATGAGAAATATAACTTACATCAATGTAGTTGGCATTTATATATTCTGAATGGGGATCTCCATCTAGTAGTTGAAGTCGTACTCGAGAATGGTCATCTAAGGGAAAAAGGTGAATTAATTGTCAATATGATTTATTTTGAACAAAATTAAGTATAATCAACATTGCACTTTTTTCATTTCCAATGCAAATTCTATTCTCTAAATAAACAGTAATTCAATCTTATTACTATAATTATTCATCTAACTAAATTACTTCTAACAAAGTTAAATTTTAGGATATGCTTTTCAATCATAACTTCATTAGAATCAAAACTATTAGCCAACATCCCAGAGATCTCCGTCACTATGCCTTGGAGTGTTCCCTCTTTGCAGCAGGATAGAACCATCAGAGATGGGCAAACAATGAGAGAGTAACCTGAAGAGTCCTCAACAGGACTCTAGATGTCATGAAGCCCAATAGATTCAGCTCATCAGGTCAAGGAAATACCCTGCAGAACGTTATCTACTGAACTAAATCTGGACTGAATCTGCACTTCTTTATATTGAATGTCAGCTGGAGGAGGTTATCAGAGAAGTGAGAGCACAAGTTATAGTGTTGATAAGAGGCTTCAATGACCATTACAAATGACTGGTTGGCAATACTTATTGAGTTGTTTGATCATGACTATGAAACAAAATAAGAAAACAGGCAGTGAGTACAAAGAAGTAAGCTAAGCATCCTCATCCTCACCAATCCATCTGTCATAGATCTTTCCATCTAAGATAAATGTGATCATCGCACCATAGGTGGAGCTATATGATTCCATAATCAATTGATCAGAAAATAACTCTGTGGCCTTACCAAGTCCAATTAAAAATAGCAATAAATAAACAGACAACTAATAGGAATCAGGGGATTTGTTAACAAGCCCATACTGAACTATGGTAGAGACCAGCGCACAAGGGAAAAAGGCAGTGTTGAAGAGTTTGCAGTTGTCTTCAGTGATGAATGGATCGTCCCATCTTGACTCCTACTGATACCCCAAATATTGTAGACAACTTTCAATTCAGTTCAAGCAAAAGGAAATTCTCCAGTGACTGGGGTTTTTATTTGTCACAGACATGGATGCTAGAATCCTATGAAAACGGCTGATTCCTGAAAGCTGTCCATCAGTTACAAGGCTTACACAAAAATATGGAATATTCATGGAATATTTACCCCATCTAGCTAGATAGTACAGCAACAATTTTCAAGACATTCAACAGTAAATGAACTACAGTATTTGTTTAATTGAGGTCCCTTCTGCTGAATTCAAGATTGACCATTCCACCCCAATGTGGCTACAGTGAGTATGACACAGGCTGTCATGGAGTAACTCACTGTTACTTTCCCAGCTTCCCTTGTGAACTCCAGGGATAATTTTATGAAAAAAAGCATCTCCTTCATTCTCCCTTCTTAGTTCACATGTAATGAAAATTTGCATATGCATTGTTTTTATCCCATCACTTGTGTGTTGGTGCTGTAGAATTCTCTCACGCCATAAAGGAGCACCATCACCATTAAGACTTCAGCAAAGCAAGAAGGAGGTCTATCTCTGCCTTCTCATCGCAATGCAAGATGAGCAATTTGTGCTTCGCCTACATCTAAAGAATGATATTTTACTATCTGACAATGTAATTATGTTTAATATTCCAAGAATTAAAATAGGAATTTTAGTACACCAATACTGTAGATATAACTGTAATTTATAATTTACATAGTCCGTTTGGTGCATAGGCCACACATTTATGGGTGGGGGGGGCGAATGTAGGATGGATGCTTTGCTGCCTCAGAAGTTCAGAGTTTGCTAACAGCCCCAGAACAAACCTGTCCATAATGGTCTGTAGGTGGGCAGAGTGGGACTCTGGCCCCTGAGAGTCACCATGTCCCAATCTCTGCAGCTGTTGGCTCATTTGGTGGCAGGAAGGGAAAGTGCAAGGTGGGGGGGAGAGCTGGGAGGAGCTTTGGAGTAGCTATGAAGGTAGTGGGCTGGGCACCCACATTATTCCACATGTCCATCCTGTCAGAAACACCCAGCTGAACGGCCAACTTCTGCTCTTCACTTGTATGTTTGTAAGTATGTAATGTTCATTGTATAGTTTCAGTCAAATCCAAAAGAAGTGGTTCAAGCATCGCAACATTTTTTGCAAACTACAATGTTATTTGTCTGAAACTCATGAATGTCCAAAATATTGCAATTAATAAATGTCTACACAACATTGACTTTAAACTTTACAAAGTTCTCCAGACATCAGCAAAACATTAGGAAAGAGGAAATTGTATCAGATTGGATGAAGTATATTGTCACTGTTTGAAAATCTGTTATTTCTCTTGAAACTGAAAGTCACCTTACACATGAGAACATAAGAACATAAGAACTAGGAGCAGGAGTAGGCCATCTGGCCCCTCGAACCTGCCCCGCCATTTAATAAGATCATGGCTGATCTTTGAGACTCAGCTCCATAACCCGCCCACTCACCATAACCCTTAATTCCTTTACTGTTCAAAAATTTATCTAGCCTTGCCTTAAAAACATTCAGCGAGGTAGCTTCAACTGCTTCACTGGGCAGGGAATTCCACAGATTCACAACCCTTTGGGTGAAGAAGTTTCTCCTGACCTCAGTCCTACATCTGCTTCCCTTTATTTTGAGGCGATGCCCTCTGGTCCTAGTTTCACCTGCTAGCGGAAACAACCTCCCTGCCTCCACCTTATCTATTCCCTTCATAATCTTATATGTTTCATAATCCCAGTCTACTCAGTCTCTCCTCATAATCCAATCCTCTCAACACTGGAATCAACCGAGTGAATCTCCTCTGCACCCCCTACACACCACCAACTTTATGTGAAAACCATTGTGTTCCACAAACCACTCCTAACCTTGTGGAAAACCTTCCAGTTTTTGCAGTTCTAATAATTGGGAGGCTGTCAGTTTTTGCTGTTATCACTGATACAAACAGCAACTTCTGGCATTCACATGTCTACAGTTAAACAAAGAAATCTGAATGTTCCTGTCTGTGGTACCCTGCTTGTCCACAAGTCACACTGTTGCAGTATTCACTGATAGAATATACATGGAAATCATCAATAATATGTGAATTTAAGCAAATTATCATTATTGTTCCACTAAAGTCTAATGAAAAATGTAAAGCCTTGTTCAAGTAGTGTTAACAATGTTTATGTTATAATTATTGCCAAACTATCTCTCAGTGAATTAAAATAAACAATCTTATAAGTGTAGTTCTATGAAGATGCTTCATTTTTTTTCTGTGGATTCATGTGAACAGTGGTGCATCAGGATATCTGAGGCAGTTTTTAAACAGGTCATAAAGTCATAAGAGTTACACAGCACGGAAACACACCCTTCGGTCCAACTCATTGGCACTGACCAGATATCCTAATCTGATCTAGTGTCATTTGCCAGCATTTGGCCCATATCCCTCTAAATTCTTTGTATGCATGGACCCATCCAGATGACTTTTAAATATTGTAATTGTACCTGCCTCCACCACTTTCACCGATAGCTAGTTCTATGCGTGCACCACTCTCTGTGTTAAAATGTTGCTCCTCAGGTCCCTTTTAAATCTTTCCCCTCTCACCTTAAACCTATGCCCTCTAGTTTTAGACTCCCCTACCCGGGGAAAAAGACCTCAGCTATTCACCCTATCCATGCCGTTCATGATTTTATAAATGTCTATAAGGTTGCACATCAGCGTCCGATGCTCCAGGGGAAGAAATGCCCGAGCCTATTCAGCCTCTCCCTACCGCTGAAAACCTCCAATCCAAGCAACATCTTTGTAAATGTTTTCTGAACTCTTTCAAGTTTAACATCTTTCTTATAGCAGGGAGACCAGAATTGAACGCAGTATTCTAAAACCGGCCTCACTAATGTCCCATACAACCACAACATGACGTCCCAGCTCCTATACTCATTGTACTCACCAATGAAGGCAAGCATGCCAAATGTCTTATTCACCACCCCATCTACCTGCGACTCTACTTTCAAGGAACTATGCATCTGCACCCCAGGTCTCTTTATTCAACAACATTCCACAGTGCCCTATTATTAACTCTATAAGTCCTGTCCTGATTTGCCTTTCCAAAATGCAACACCTCACATTTATCTAAATTGAGTGCCAAATGCCACTGCTCAGTCCATTGGCCCATCTGATCAAGGTCCCATTGTACTCTGAGGTAACCTTCTTCACCATCCACTACACCACCAATTTTGATGTCATCTGCCAACCTACAAACTATGCCTCCTGTATTCACATCCAAATCATTTATACAAATGATGAATAGCTGTGGACCCAGCACCAATCCTTGCAGCACGCCATTTGTCATGGAAAGGACAGTGGGCAACTTCTTTTTTACTTACTAGAATTGAGATAGTTTGAGCTGACTAAACAGCTAAGCCCGTGGAGCTGCTGGGTTTACTGAAAGTAACCTGTCTGGACTTTATGGCTTTGTTTTGGACATTTTTTAAGAATTTGGTTGCATCACAGAATAAAGCTGACCTGGTCAGCTGCTCCCCTTCTGAGAAATACCTGTTTCGAGTTCAATGCGAGGACTAAAATCCTGATCCATTCTCTTGAAAAAGAGTCTGAACAAATTCCCAACAGTTCCTGAGTGAAATTCATCTGTAAAGGTTCCAGAGACAATTGCTTGTGTTTGGTGATACCTGTCTATGTGTATCATGTTGCCAACAGGAAGCCATCCTGAATATTCCACACTTTATTCTTTGTTCCTTCAATAACTAACAATTGTTGGCCTAAGTACTTTTTACCAAAATCAATCCTTGCAGAGAATTTTTTTCTCTACCTGGTGACTGTAAGTGTTTTAGGTTATTTAGAAGAGTAAATATTTATACTTTCATATTTCAAATGGTGTGTTAACCAGCTTCACACTTTACCAAAATAAGTTTTATTTCATAATAAATCAATAGCTTTTTTGATTGTTAAAAGAAACCTGGTTGGTAGGTCGTTTTATTCTGATTTTAACATAGAGACACAATTAGCCATGTCAATGACTGGATAAATAATGTAATGTTAGCTGTCATTAGCAGGGCAGTGTGCTTAG